TCATAGAAGAGTGTGGGTCATAACTGAGGTTGTCACCCCACTCAACTATTTATATTAATGATTTAAAACAGGGTAAAAAACCAGAACTCCCTACTGCTTACATAAGCTAAAAGATAACAGAAAATAACTACCAACTAATCCAGCTAACATACTAACAGCAACATAAGCAACATAAACAGACATGCAGCAGTGGGGACCACATTATTGTTCTACATCTCTACAGCATTTACATTTGCCTCATGAGAGTTTGATGGCTTTTGAATATACACTTGATGGCATTGGTTGATCCTTGTGGCGGTGAATATACATGTTACTCTCAAGATGATGATGTGATGAAGGAGCTGACTTAAACTTTGGAATGGACAATTGAAACTATACTTGCCTCCTCTCCATACACTTTCCTTGAGGAGAGGTGCGAAGAATGGGTGAGACTAGAAGAATGAGACAACCATGGAGATAAATGTATTCTAAGAATTGATTGTAAATATGTACAAATGTACAAATACTAATTTTATACATGTACACTTGTACATAAAATTAGAAAAAAAGGTATTTTTATATAAATATAATACATATATGTATGTATTTGATTGGATGGGCTCGGTTGGTTGGGCATGCTCGGGCTACCTATGGCCTTAACCCAAGCCCAACCCAAGTTTGGGTCAGACTGAAGTTTTCTGGCCCAAGCCCAGCCTGCAACTCGAAAACTTAGGCCCAACTCATGCAAAAACTTGGCTTGGGTCCGGTTGGTCTCAGGTTGGCCCTGCCCAAGTTGCACCCCTATTTGTGGATAAAACACTTACAATTGAAGACATGGATGAGGTTTGGGTGTATTGCTTGGGTTTTTGTTGGGCTTTGGGCTATTGTGTTTTCTGTTTATTTCGTCTTTTTGCTGTCTTGGATTGTTATGGGTAAGGGGTTTTCGTTTAGTTGGTTTTTTTTTTTTTTTTAGTTTGATGGTTGATTTGGGTTTGTTTTGTTCTCATCGGGTTTTTGTTTGGTTTTGTCTTTCTTTCGGGTGATTGCTTATCACCTTCCTTGTATCTTCTTTTTTTGTTTCAATAAATTTTATGGTTATCTTCAAAAAAGAAAGGAGACTGAGGAAACAACAAGTTGTGCACAAAACACTTAAACTAACGACATGGATGGGAATGGAGTAAAAAGGAGATTGAGGGAACAAGAACTGGTAAGGAGCTTGAAACTATAACACTTCAATTAGCATGTGGTAATTAAGTCAAAACTACATCAGCCAAAAAACATTGAAGCATATTTATTTGGAACAATAAGCTATGTGCCACCTCCAATTGATGCTTGTTCTTCCTCTTTGCAACTCCATTTTGTTGTGGGGCTCTAAGACATGGGCTCTGAAGTAGTATACCTTCATCAACTAAGACTTTGGTCAAGTCACCTCTATAATACTCCTTGGAATTGTCAAATTGCATATTTCGTATCTCAAACATGAAATTGAGTGAATACATTGAAAATTTTGAATAATCTAGGGAACTTCATCTTGAGACTGTGTTAGGTAAATCCAGTGTAGTCATCACTTTTTTTGGAAAGATTACTGAGTGTAGTCATCAATAAAACTAATAAAGTATCATTAAGAATTAATGGAAGCAGGACCCCATATATCAGATTGCACAAAATAAAATAGACAAATATTTTATTAGTAAAAGGAAAGGGTTTCTACAATGTTTGCCTGCTGAAGTACCAGTTAGAAGAAGAAAGAAGGAACCAGGAGAAAAAAGAGAAGAAATCAAAGAAGAAAAATTTGATATATTTCCAATTCAAAACATAATATACAACCTAACATAATGCTAGATTTATAAGAAACCTAAAAAAACTGAAAATTACAATCATTCTCCTATTAAATATGAAAATCAAACGTAACCCCTCTGAGAAAAGAAAATTACAAATAAACCCAAATTCTACATTAAACAAAATAAATCCTAAAATAATGTCATCTGTGTCTAGTGTAAGTGGGAAACGTGTGTGGCTCATCAGTCTCAATGTGATCTCCATCATTGCCCAACTGTCAAGTTTAGACAATTACACTCAAGATATGGCATAGACATGGACTTAAAAACAATTAGTGAACAAACTTTTAACAAAGAAAAAGGCAAGTGACCTAATCGAAAATGCCATAGGTAAATTGGATTCTTATTACAATGATAAACACAAGTTTCAGGAAGAAAATTATATGAAATTTTAAGGATTTTGTAATACTACTGATAGAAAGGAGATTAATAGGTGTGCTAGAGCAGCCCTAGTTTGGACAGTTTGGGAGGAGAGGAATGCCAGAATTTTTAATGAGAAAGAAAGAAATGTGGGACGCTTTGTTGGATTGTGTTGTGAGTAGGGTTGTTCACTGGATTAACACTATGGAGGAATTGGGAAGCTGTAGCTAAGAGCTCAGCCAACTATAACAGGGCTGTGTCAGTTTGGTTACCACCTGAGGAAGGTTTTATAAAACTCAACTTTGATGGTAGCAGTCTAGGAAACCCTAGGCCTTCTGGAATTGGGGGAGTCTTCAAAAACAACTAAGGAAATTCCATTGCTTTATATTTGGGTCTAGTTTTCAAGGCGCCAAGGTGAGGCTAGGCGACAGGGGGTGCCTTGTCGCCTAGGCAATGGATCTTTTTTAAGTAAAAACCACATATGATAGGGTAGTTCCCTAGGTTCCATAACCATCTTTCCTTAATAACTATCCATAATTTTCAAAGCTTCATTTTAAGTCTAGAAAATCAACATATTTATGAGAAGAAAAAGAAGAAAGAACAGAATATTAAAAAAATATAGGGGCTGAACCCCTATTTTTGTTATAGGAAAAGAAGAAAAGAAGAAGTGCAAGAAGAAATTGTGTTGATTAGACAAAGTTCTCTTATTGGTTCAGATTTTGAAGTCTTTGAGGGTTCAATACAGCAGTTAGCAATGTTTGTGTTGATTAAACCCTAACAAATAAGAAAATAATAAAAAGAAATTAGTTTACAAACACAAAAATGAATGTTCTTATTTAATAGTGTCTATTTTATAATTATATTCTAAAAAAAATAACAATATAAAAGTGTTTTATATGACAGTATACAAAACTGCTTGGCAACTGGGCTAGGTGAGTCTCCAAGGGCGCCTTGTTGCCTAGGCGTCGCCTTGACAACTGTGATTTGGGTCCAGTAGGATTGGGGGGCTTGATAAATGCTGATTTTCAAGCAGTTTTACAAAGGGTACAGATTGCTAGAGAATTGAACTTTGACAGACCACTCATTGTAGGGGATTCCAAGCTGGTTCTTGGGTGGCTGAATGAGCTGGCCTCGGTAATTTGGATTTTGGATTTATAGGGATGCTATTCAATAGGTTTAAATGGCTGACCTAAAACATGGTTATATGAATTCAATGTGAAAGGAGGTTTGCAAATAGGATGGCTGATTAGCTAGGCGAGGGGTGAATAGAGACTATCTGTACTGGACTCAATTGTAATTTGTCCTTTGCATTTGAGGCTGCATCTTGCACCTCTGGTTGGGAAGTTTTGATTGTAAAATCCTTTGTTTTATTTATTTGAATGAAATATCTTTTACCTATCAGTTATCACAAAAAAAAAAAAAGAAACCAATCCGAAATACAAGAAGCAAAAAGGGCAGGAGATTAGCAAGTGATAGCATGTTTAATTAGGATAGAATCTTCACCTTTATCATCTAAGCCTTGTTCCAACTATATGGGGTCAACTGCATGAATCATGTTTTTGCCATTCTGTTCTGTTTAGTGCCATATGCATTGTTAAATTATTGACACAAACGATTTCTTATTACAACCACCCAAGTTCTTTTTTGTACTAGCTCTTCTAGCACCTTCAACTTGTACAGATCACTTTTTCTAACAGTTGCTGTAGATGGTCTTAAATGCACACAACCAAACCATCTCAATCTACTTCCTTTCATTTTATCACCTATTGGAGCTACTCCTAGGTTTTTTTTGTATGACCATTTGTTGGACTTGCTGTTTCTTGATTGCCCAACACCCTGCTCCATACAACATAGCTGGCCTTACAACCGTTTTATAGAACTTTCCTTTTAGGCTTTTATCTGAAGTGGTATTTACCTATCGCATAAGGCTCCAGATGTAACCCTCCATTTTGCCCACCCCCTCTAATTCTATGGGTGGCATCCTCCTCAATCTGTTCTTTGTTATGAATTATTGAACCAATGTAATTGAAAAGGTAACATTTAATTATCTATTGGTCTCCATAAGTGCACCTTAGTTTTCTGCCCTATTATTATTAAATTTATATTGCATATATTCTGTTTTGGTCCTATTTATTTTAAAATCACGTTTCAAATGTAGTTGTTTATAAACCTAGTTTTGCATTTAATGCTTTTTTAGTTACATGGCATATATTCTGTACATTGCATTCTTCACTTTTAGAACAGACATGTGCCTCTCTTCAGTGTGGCATATTTCCTTTTTATGAACTATGCACCATATCAGAAAATTTGGAGAAGAGAAAGAGTAAGCATGTGTTGGTTGTTGATGCTGTTGAAGGATTAACAACCAATGAGCATGAACTTGTTATGTTGCTATATGATAAATAATTGCCTTGATGTTCTTTCTTCATGACAAACTTTGGAAACCCTTTTAATTCTTTTTTTTTCCCTCTTTTCCTGTAAGTTCCTATTTTTCTTGTTTGGTAGCATATAGCTTACTTATACTTTTTTTTTTTTATTCAACAAGAAAGCTTTTGTAGTTTGAGAACTTAAATTCTTAATTCTGTTGTAGATTGCCAAATTCTTCTCTTTAATTTTGTGGGAGTTATGAATATGTATATCCCGGGGGGATTGCCTTCGCTCCCCTTTCTGGTTGTATATTGACTCTTTTTATGCAATAAAATTACCTTACCTTTTCTCAAAAAAATGCCAAATTCTTCTCCCAAAAATTTCAGTTCTGTAAACACATCATGAAACCTTTGCCTATCACTAAGCATTGGCTGTTCATTGTCTATTAATGTGCAGTTTTACAAATGGTTTACAGATCTTCAATCAGCGATGAAGTCCGAGGTAAGTGCTAATAGGTCAGTTTTTTCAGCAAATGCTGGAATGGAAAAATGGGCTTTATTGCGTCTGATGATTTTTCATTCTATAAACAGACAGAGGAGAAGTATCGCCACTATGTCAACACATTGACAGAACGCATTCAGACATGTGATGATATCCTTCATAAGGTAAGTATTAATTATATTGTTTCTAAAGTTTTATTATAATATGGTATTTCTGCTGGAAAAATATTAGGTTAAGTTAATTTGGGAAAATTTCTGACTGGTTACTTTTTAAGTTAGACTTCAAACTAAGGAAGCAGGATCGAACCTTTTGTGCGGCTTTTATAGGTTGCAAACTTTTACCCGCTAAGTGCTTCCCTTAACTTAAATATAGTTGCATTATATTTTTGATTAATCTCTCTTTCTAATTTTTTATTCCTGTTAGAGAGATAAAACAGCTATTGGGAGAAAGGTCTGGTATGAGGTATATTGGGAAAATCCCTCTGTCAAGTGCAAGAGAAGCTTTAGCATAAGCTCTGGTTGTGTTGTTGTGATTATAATGATGGTGGGTGCTTTTGTTTTGAGATAAACACTAATTGAGTATGCACAAGGGAAAAAGGAGTAATAACAGGAGAGGATATGAGGGTGAGATACATCAATAGAGAAAGGAGAAGAAGACAAGAATGGAGGTGAATATACTTTTAATGTTTTAGGGCAGTGAACATTTAATATTAGTGGGCATATTGAATGCTATGGACCTTTTTATAAAGCCAAACTGCTTATTGGATTCCCTTGCTCTAAGGCTATTAAGTAAAGTGAATTTTTTGCTTTCTCTTCTGTATAATTTACATCTATTGATTACTTAGAGGCCAATACTTTTCTATAATTGAATGGATATTTTTCTTGTTCTGTTCTTTTTTTTTTTTGTATTATATATACATGCTTAGTGTATTGTAGAAGTAAAACTAGTACCTACTTAACCTCGGTTATGGAATTAGACTTGAGTTTATCTATGGAGCTGATAGAATCACAGAAATCTAATTGAATGTGTAAAGAGACTGGGCCGAATGGGTCCTAGTATCTTCTCTTGTAATATTTTTTCTTTTATTGTTGGCTAATGGGCCTCTCTTAAT